GTATTAAAATAAATATTATTTAACTTTATTTATTTCCAATTCTAAATTAGGTTGTTTATATATAATAATTATGACATAATAGAAATATTTAGAAATGTCATACATTTTACCATTTAATTAAAATTTTTGATATACCTATAACTAGTTAATGAATAATTTTAATTATCTAGTTACCATTTTTTGACGGCATATATGGAAAGAGAAATACGAAAAAATTATGACACTGCTTGCAAAACAATAATCCTAGATTATTTACTGATGGAGCCAGATGAACTAAATAGAATTGGAATTAAAAATTATTATAGACCTGATTATTCTACAATGAAAATCAGAGGTCCAATTCCATGGCACCAAACAGCTATTATTCAGAGGAATCAGCTAAGGCATAGTTTATATATTTTTAATGAATCTATTTTAGTATTGAATACTATATGGGAAAAGTAAGCAATTTTAATACATTTTTATTCATTATTTTTATTATTTTTATTCACTTTTTAATTTTCTCTTAAAGGTATTCTCAAGGTTATATTTTTTCAATAGAAAATTTAAAAAAAGAAGGATTGCCTATAACCCCAAGTTCTTTAGAAGATTTTTTGGATAAATCATGTGAACAATTTCGGAACAAATTAGTAAATGAGTATGCAATTTTACTGTTAATTTCTATTTTGTAAAATAATATTGATCACCTATAACATAATGTATTAAAGATTTGTTTTCATAATTAACTTTTGTGCCTCAAAAACTAAACAATAATTAGTAATAAATATTCTTTGAGCACTTAGAGAATTTTTCAACTATAAACTCATTTTGTGTTCACTCTTCTGGAATTATTGATTTTTTTCTGCAATATATTATGGTTACTCTTAGAAATTATGTATATAAAAAAATGACTTTATAATTTATATGAGTGCACAATTTAAAATGATCGTAGGTACAATTAAATAATGATAAATAATTTATAAGATTAAAAAATTACAAATTAAAACAACTAGTAATGCTAAATAAAAATATAAAATGTATATATGTAATAAGTATATTACCAACATAATATTCAATGTACCCATGATATTGTACTAAAAATGTTTCAAATATATCTATTATCTATACAAATTTTATATTTTTATTTAATGAACCTAGATGTTTTTATTTGTAATTTTCTACAGGCTTAAATGTATAGATTTATTCTGTATAATTTAAGCCTTAAGATGCAATATTTAAATAAATTGGTTTTTTTTTAATGTAAGTAATAGATTTTATTAAAACATTTAATACAGATCATATACTAAGAACTAAATTATCTGCACACCTTGTACTGCATAATGTATACTTAAAAATAGGTGGATTGTGGAATGTGCTGAGCTATTTCTGAAAGAAAAAGAAAGTTATCGAGATTTATTAACAACTCATATTTTGATACATGAAACAAAGTATAAAATTCAAAAGTATTTTGATTGTGTTGCAACTATTATGTCTAATCAGTTGAGACAAATTGTATTTAAGACTTTGAAACAATTCATGAAGACAATACTTGAATATAAGGTGAGGGTTGAGTTATTATTTATTTATTTTTTAAATATTATTAATACTTTATATTTAGTTAAACTGTGTTGAATTGTCACTAAATTCAACATAAGTAGGTAACAAAATATGGATTTTAAATCGTATTAAAATAATTACTGTATAACCGGCATACTTGGGACATATGGCTAACTTGGGCAATATTTAAAAAATTTAGTATTGTATCGTCTGGCATCATTAATTTATCTTTTTGTTATCATTATAAATTTATACACACAGTATACACATTTATACAAACAACTTGACTACTAACAGACCTAAAAATAAAATTAAGGGATGTTTATTTATTTAATTAAGTAACATTGTGAACATTGAACATATTATAAATACTTATATACTGATATCGATAATCGATATATCGAGGTGATTATTAAAAAATTCACATTTCATGAAAAAACCCTGACATTTTCCATTATTTTGTAACCCCCCCCCCAGGACGTTTTTATTTAAGCTTAAAAAGAGGACATGTCCGGGGAAAAGAGGACGTCTGGTAAACCCTAAACACGACCCTAAACACGAGACGTTGAAATTTTTTAGCCACATATTTTTTTAAAATTAACAAAAAATTTACAATTTGTAAGCTAATACTCATGTTTTATTTCATATATAATTTATTCATAAGTACTATATTACTATGAGAAAATTACATGCAAACGAAAAAAATGTTCCATGTTACCCTGTTTTAGATAGAGGTAGGTAGTTAGGTAAATCCTTTTTACATTTGAAGAAGTTATTTATACAACAATACATCGTATATTTTTCTAATGTTTCTATTTTCTATAAATAATATTTTACATAATACATATTACAATATTAACTATAACCCAATATTAACCCATCCTTAAAAATCCTAACAACCTATTTCCTCTTAATATAATTGAAATAGGTACCTATCCAATTTGCACTCACAAATATAAATTAAAAATAAATATAAATATATATTATTAGTATTTATATTTATTATAGTTTAAACTGCAGCTATAAACATTTGTCTTAAAACTTACTATTTAGGAAGGAAATGTAATAGATACTGAATATAAAGACAAAATGTTCATAAATCTGCCATTTTTTATTCTACGAGCAGTAGTTCCCAACCCAAATTCAATTCAAATATCATTTGAACCTACGCGTGAAGAATGTTTAGATCTTTTATTGTCGATCCCGAGAAAAATAATTAAATCAGTACAAGATATACCAAGAGTTGAAACACTGTTAATGAAACGTAATATTATATAGTTATAAGTTATTAAATATATTCTATTATTAAAATCTAAAATAAAACTAAAATAATATTTAAATTCTTTAAAGAACTGAAAGGTAATTCTACTATGGTACTAAAAAACATTTATGAAACTGAAGAGGATGTTCAAAATATGTTAATTGAAGTTAGGAAGGTTCTAGAAAACAATTTTCCAGGGCCAGAAACTTACATTACATGTTATAAATCCTACTACTATTTGTTAAATGGTACTGAAACTAAAGCCTTCGATAAATTTTTTTCAAGTGATCCATTTCCATTATTGGCTGTATGTACCTATCTCAATATTATAAATTTATAACTAAATTTAAAATGTAAACATGTTAAAATTATTCTATATTTTTAAGGAATTCAATGAATGGGTCATCAAGTATATAACTATAAATGAAGATATCCTTAAACTTAGAGATCGAGTGGAATTAAATTTAATAAAATTAGATGTATCTGAGGTTAATACAAATTTAAAAAATATAATTAAGAGTTTGAAAAACAGAATTCTTGACTATTTTATGAATTTAACTCAGCAAAATATTTCTGGGTAAACATAATATTATGAAATGTCGAAATGATGAATTATTTTTTATTTTATTTTATTAGCAGTATAAATAATAATAATAAAATGAAAACAGTGACAACAGTAATAACCATATTTTTTCAGAGTAAATAATGAATTTGAAGTTATGTCTGCCAAGTTATCAGAAACACCTGACACTACTGAAGAATTAGTAGAGCTTAGTAACTATGTAACACTAAGTCGGGATTCTACTTTATCAAAAATGAAAGCTCAACTGAGGACTGTCGGAGAATACATAATGTTTCTTTTTGATTACACATTGTTCAACAGTAATATAATATTCCATTTTATTTCATGAGATTTTATTTTTAAATTACCAACCTGTTAATTTTCAATAGTTGATGATATCAATTTGCAATCACGAGTATATCGATGGCCTCAAGAAATTGAACAGTTTTTAGATTTAGCTACAAATAGAGTTGTTCAAAAGAAAGCGGTAGTTGAAAGCCAGTTGAAAACTAAAAAAACTGAATTTGAATTGAAGTATGTTAAAAGTGATTTCAATTAAGTAGGTAGTATTAACAATTAAATGATTGGTTTTCATAGTCTTAAAAGTCATCAAAAATTATTGGATCTTTTAAAAAAAAAAGACCCGCCAATATTAACTAATGATGAAATACTAGCAGCAACTGAAGAAGTAGATAGTCTTACTGATTTTCTTAAAGAAGATATTGCTGCTGCAAAGGTATGTAAATACAATTTAAATAAATAGGTACCTACACTATAAAACAATAATGTAATTAAAAATTAATTTAAGTTTTAACTAAATTAATATATTTTTAGAGTTTGGGTAGTGTGTTTAGTAGTATGCTGTTATAATTGTGCTTATTTTATTAAACAATGTTTTGTTTTCATTAACACTACCTATAAAACAGCGGTTTTCAAACTGGGTGCCGCGGCACACTGGTGTGCCTCGAGAATTCACTGAATGTGCCGCGGTCTTTCGGAAAGTTCAACTATTCGTCCCAGAATAAAATTATAAAAATTTGTTAGCCCGTCATTCGTCAAGCACTCATTTCTTGTATAATAATAATGTATATAAATGTATTTATATAATTATAATTCAAAATAATTTTGTTCATCTAATTATTTAGTGCAAAAAAAAAAAAAGGTCTGTGTGCCTTGAAAACTTTTTGAGGAGCACGGTGTGCCGTGTTCAATAAAAGTTTGAAAACCACTGCTATAGAAATTCTAATAATAACAACTGCTGAGTTAAGAAATTACTTGCCTACCTATGTTAATTGTTATTTAAATATATTATGTATTCATTTTAAGAATAAAATAATTAAGGGTTCAAACAATAATTACATTAAATAATTTAGAGCATTAATCACACTGAAAAACTTTTGGATGTTGGAGTTACATCATATACTCACCTTTATACAATGGTTGCAACTAGTGAGCAATTTGACCGTTTGTGGCACATTGCTCATGATTTCCAGAACTTTTATCAAATATGGTTCAATGGTAAAATATACTAAATACATTAATAAAATATATGAAAAATATGAATTGATGAATTCCTAAACGAACATAATTTACTAAATCTCAGGGCCATTCCACGATTTGAATGCTAGGGAAATAAAGGATATGGTGGATAATATGTGGAAAACCCTATATAAATTAACTAGAACTCTTCAAGACTATCCTGGGTCAAAAAGAGTAGCAGAAATTGTACGTGGTCGAGTAGATGATTTTAAAAAGTATTTACCAGTATTAGATACAATTTGTAATCCGGGTATACACGATAGACATTGGACAGAAGTAATTTCATTAATATTTTATTGTTGTAAATAATATATGAACCAATAATAATAAAAACCTAAATACACCCCAGATTAGCAAAAATGTTGGTGTAGAGTTACATCCTAATGAATCATCAACTTTGTCTCAAATGATTGATATTGGTTTACTGGATTATATTGAAAAACTTGAAGAAATTAGTGTTATTGCAACTAGAGAATATTCTCTTGAACAAAATCTTCGAAAAATGAAAGAGGAATGGATACCCATTGAATTTGAATGTAGCCCATACCGGGATACTGGAGTTAGCATATTAACGGCGTTAGATGACATTCAGGTTATGTTAGATGATCATATACTGAAAGCTCAAACAATGCATGGATCGGTTTATATAAAACCTTTTGAAGAAGAAATGGATATATGGGAAAAAAAATTAATTTTGATGCAAGAAATTTTAGACCTATGGATTTCAGTAAATATGTTTATCAATGGTAATAGGTACTTAAAATTAAAATACAGTCATTTGTTTTCATATTCATTGTGATCAAATGCATAGCAATGATTATTTATAAAAAGTATTAATAACTGTATAATTGGTAATCCTACTGTGATAATACCTATAGGTTATATGATATATATATATTAATATATTTTATTAAGCTCATAATAAATTACATTTCATATAAATTATATATAATTATTGTTTGTAAATTGTAGGTGCAAGGGATTTGGATGTATTTAGGTCCAATATTTAGTTCAGAAGACATAAACCGTCAGATGCCCGAAGAAGCTAGAAATTTTAGGACTGTAGATGCTATTTGGCGTCATATTATGATTAACACTGTTAAAAATAATAAAGTTCTCGAAGCTACAAATTATCCAAACATGTTACAATTACTAAAAAGGTGCAGTGTTATGTTTGAGCAGATACAAAAAGGGTTAAATGAGTACTTGGAGAAAAAACGTCTTTTCTTTCCACGGTAACTATCTATAGCATTATAGTCTTATTATTTATTACATAGACACGTTTAATAGCTCAATTAAAATTACAGATTTTTCTTTTTATCCAACGACGAACTCCTCGAAATTTTATCCGAGACCAAAAACCCACTACGGGTACAACCTCATCTTAAAAAATGTTTCGAAGGTATTGCGAAATTAAACTTTACAAAAAGCATAGAAATTGTGGGAATGATATCAGCTGAGGGTGAAGTAGTAGAATTTAATGGAATAATTTATCCCGCTGAGGCTAAGGCATGATTAATTGCTTATAGTTTATTTTTGGCACTGAAGTCTGAATTCAATTTTATGTCACAGGGCTTAGTAGAAAAATGGTTAATCCAGGTTGAAATTTTAATGATGCAGTCAATAAACACAATTATTAACGATGCAGTAAAAAAATACGCTAATACAAATCGGTCTGAATGGGTACTTCAGTGGCCAGGTATGGTAGTTTTATGTGCTGCGACAATAAATTGGACTGCCGAAGTAGAAACTGCTGTGGAAAAAAGAACACTTCCTGTTAGAGAAGTTTCTTAAACTGATAATAATCTACCTTAAATAATTAATAGTATTGAATTTGTGCATTTTTGTGTTAGGCCTACTTACAGAAAAGTAATAATCAAATAGACAATTTGGTAAGTTTAGTGCGTGGCACATTAAGCAAAGGCGAAAGGGCAACGGTGTGTGCTTTGATAGTTATAGATGTTCACGGTAATTAACATCAAATATTTATTCATTAATTATAGTGATTTTAATAATAAACCATTGAATTTAATATTTTAAGCTCGTGACGTTGTTAAAAATCTTAAAGTTCTGAAAATAAGTAGTATTCGAGATTTTAATTGGATTAGTCAACTTAGGTATTATAATAGAAATTCAAAAACTACTGTGTCGATGATAACTACTACTTTAGACTATGGAAATGAATATTTAGGAAATACACCAAGATTGGTAATTACTCCATTAACAGATCGATGTTACAGGTAAAATAATAATTTTAATTAAAATTTCAATTTATTTTAAACAATTATTTTGAATTAAATAGAACGCTTATGGGTGCATTAAAATTATACCTTGGGGGGGCTCCAGAAGGTCCAGCCGGTACTGGAAAAACAGAAACTACAAAAGATTTAGCCAAAGCAATTGCCAAACAATGTGTCGTATTCAATTGTTCTGAAGGACTTGATTTCAAAGCTATGGGCAAATTTTTCATGGTTCGTATATTGCAGTTCATAATATTATTATTTTTAAAATTTTGCATCTGCTCATTCACGTGCATTAAATTTAAAGGTAAACATTAATTTATTATTAAAATATATTTAAAGTTAATGATACGTGAACACGTGATCTTCGTTATAGGAAACGGTTTTAGTGGTATTAATTGCATATTATAGTATCGTAAAATCCGAAAAAAAAACAAACAATTTAAGCAAATATTATTTATGTGTAATACAAATATTATACAACGATCAAGAGCGCATTCAAGGGGGGGGGGTAATGGCGGCTGTTTAAGGATTTTTTAAACGATGTGTCTGTATGTAGTTTATAATTCATATGTCTCGCATGTGACTTACCGACTATTTATCATCTGATATCCAGACTTGGGTAAAATACTTTTAAAAAGTATTTATTATAAATACTCAAATAATTATGAAAAATAGTATTCAAATACATCATACAAATAGCCTTCCGAATAAATTATTTTAAATACCTACTTCAAACCTATTCCAAATAATTTTAAAATACTTTTTAATTTTTGTTTTAAATATTAAACCAATGATACTTTTCTTCGGGAAAATTTTCCAATATATTATAGGTATAATTTAATAATTCTAAATATAATTTAATTTAAGTTGTTGATACTTGATTTAAAATTTTAAAACGTGTATAATATTGTAAATATGTCTAGAAAAACAGGAAAACAATTATTGTAAATAATTAGTATTTTTTATAGGAATAAAATACTTTTATAAAAATATTCTAAATAATTAATCAGAATACTGTTGGAAAAAGTATTTTAAAAGTATTCTATATAGGTAGGTACTTAGATAGTGTTCCGAATACTGTATTTGGAATACTTTATTCAGAATACTACCCAAGACTGTTGATATCTTCATGTAATAATGATAACAAATGTTGATCTTTCCTTGGGAGTTTATTCTGCATTATAAAATTTCTTATAAATTGTTTAGTTAATACAATTTATAATTGTTTTTTACACGTTAGAATCTGAATTTTAATGAGCCGATTTTTTTATAACATTATTAATTAATTATTTCAAATCATTTGGTGTTGGTGGCTAACGATCTAAAGTAAGTTGATTTCTGACACCCCCCCCCCCCATATATGGTCTAAAAATCGACCGATATTTCTATTGAATTCAACTGGCCCGAATCTATTAGCTATACAAATTTCAAGGAAGCTTAAATACCGCCAAACCGTCAGTAGCTCCTAGACTGGGAAAATACTTTGTACTGCTACCTATATTATACCGTAATAATAAAAACGTATATTATATTAAATTCAATTGTTTAGTAGGTATTCACCTGTTATTTTTTTGGAATTTTTGGGGGCTATGGCCCACTGCTCCCCAGTGGCGCAACCAAGATTTATTCAAGGGGGGGGGGGGTGTCCAAAAAAATGTATTTAACTACTGTTAATTTGTTCTTTTCCTGAGTATATACATACATTTTATTTCTTAATAAACACAACTTTCCGGGTTAATGGTTAATAAAAAAAACACAATTATATTATTTACATTTTTAAATGTATAATACAATGTTAAAATTATGGTATAGTCACGACATAAGCCAAAGGGGGTTGAATTCGCCACTACTGCCCCCTCCTAAAGCCTCCACTCTCCTATGGATAACTACAATTAAAATCAATAAAACACGTGCAATATAGAATCTGAACTCGGAAACGTGTCTTTTAGGATAGATACAATATTATTGTTGTCTTCATATTAGGGATTAGCACAATCTGGAGCGTGGGCATGTTTTGATGAATTTAATAGAATTGAACTTGAAGTGTTGTCGGTTATCGCTCAGCAAGTGTATATTATACAAATGGCGGTAAAAGCTAAAAAGGAAAAATTCATATTTGAAGGCACAGAGTTAACATTAAATCCCACTTGTGCAGTTTTTATAACTATGAATCCAGGGTAAGATTATATTTTTTAAAAATGCTTACATTTTTACCATAATATAGTTATCTTATTACAAAAATTATTATTATTATAGATATGCTGGACGACAAGAACTACCCGATAACTTGAAAGTATTGTTCCGTACAGTTGCTATGATGGTACCAGATTACGCTATGATTGGAGAAATATCATTATATTCTATGGGTTTTAGTGATGCTAGAAGGTAGGTTGTTAATGTTTTCGTATAATAGGTAATAATTTGGATAACTTTAAATAATAATTGTACCTACTACAGTTTGGCTGAAAAAATTGTTGACACATATAAGTTATGTTCAGAACAATTGTCATCTCAATCACATTACGATTATGGAATGAGAGCAGTTAAATCTGTATTAACATCTATTGAAAATTTGAAACTTAAATATCCTGGTAACAACGAAGAGCAAATTGTACTAAGAGCTATATACGATGTCAATATGCCGAAATTTTCATCGGAGGTTTCACTCTAACTATAACTAATTAACTCTAAACTAATTTTTAAGATTATGTTATACCTTAAAATATTTCATATTAGGATATACCACTTTTTGTTGGTATATACGGAGATTTGTTCCCCGGTGTTGATCTCTTGGTTCCAGAAAGAGAAGAGCTTATAAATAAAATAAACATCAACTTAAGTAAAAGGAATTTACAAAGTACTCCGTGGTTCATTGACAAAATAATACAAGTATATGAAATGGTTTTGGTTAGACACGGACTTATGATTGTTGGTGAACCATTTTCAGGAAAAACTTGTGCCTATCAGGTTATTAAATATTATTTATACAATTGTTGTCTAAAATTGTTCGTAAACATTTCAACATTTATATCTATGTAAAAAAAATTTAAATTTATTTTTGTAATTCGTAAGTGCATCTGGCATTAGGGTTCCTTATACCTACTGTTATAATCAATTAATTAATATTCAACATTAGATTTAAGGTATTCGTATAATGTTATACTAATTGTTTTGTTTAGTAATTTTTAAACTTATGATATTTATACAAGGATTTATTTTTTAAATTTAACTAAACATTTTTATAATTTCCACATTTGAAGTCTTTTTAATATTATAGTTGTTAATTGTCTGTGAATTGTAGATATTGGCAGTATTTTCTTAAATTTTAGATTATTACATAATATTTGTTTTATAGATTCTAAGCGGAGCGATGTATGTATTGATTTTAAAATGATGAGTGTTTTAAGTTTTTAAAATTTTTTTTAGGTGTACACGATAAGAAGTCGAAATAATTATTCTTCGATTTTCAGCTTCAGTATCTTGTTCGATGGGAAACTGAATCTAGTTGGTGCTTTGGGGAGGTCAAAATTCCTAGCGTTTTTCAAAAACGCAGAGCCACAAAAAAAAATTAAGGAAAACCGGGAATTTTTACTCAAAATCGGTTTTCGAAAAAATCGATTTTGGTTTTTGGTGTGACTCTAAAGTGTGATTCTAGATACATGAAAATTTCACTGGTTGTTTATATTAGTATTTTATATACCTATACGATACAATTTTCAAAATATTTTGATTTGTTTTGAACTGTTTACGAACATTTTCAGTTTCCAACTTTTTTTGTTTTCTTTTCTCTGAATCTCTATAAAATTTTATTTGTTGGCTAAAAGAGCTTGAAATTAGGCTATAAGTGATATAAGATCACTATCAATCACTAAGATTGATATAAGGCTATTAGTATATTGTTATCAGTTTTAGCTGCTAAAATATTAAAAAAGCATTTCCACAATTTTTTTTTAGAAACATTTAAAGTTACCTTTTTGACAAAATTTAGTAATTATTTTGTAGTTATAATTTTTAAAATGTTCAACTTTTATATCTAAAAATTAAAAATTTAAAACATGGTTCGTAAATAGGTTATATATAACTATTACTTTATTCACAATATTATCATCAAATATACTTAGTAATATCATAGTTGGACCGTGATCATGTCACCATCTTCGCTCAGAATCGTCTTTCCTATACAATGATATTGTATCATGGAATTCAAATTTAACACCTTCCATTACAGTGACCCACTTGTAACCATACTGTACAGCAGAGTGACATCCATTTTCCCACCTTTTTAACTATTAGATTTATCACTTGGTGCTTAAAATATGTGCTCGTTTACGCGTCACGAGAGTGTCATAGGTACATAATTTTACAAACATAGGTTTGTAGACTTTACGTATTATTATTGAAACGGATAGTTTCTATTAATTATCTATTCAAACGTGTAGTATAATTTTGAATAAATATATTGAATACTTAATACAAATTTTAACGCATTTTATATAATTTTATATTTGATTATACGTCTGACCTCCAGCCCCCTCTAAAATCGTTCTTGTAGATACTTGAAAAAATTGTACAGATTAGTAATTGTAAGTTTTGAACATTTTTGTAGCTTATTGTAAATATGTTCATTCGATTTTGACTTCTACAGTCAAACTTAATATTAGGTATATATTGATTATTTGTTCACTTAAGTCTGACATATTATTACCATATAGGTTAATCTTATTATTGTCCACAGAATTACGATCATTTATTTCTATAGGTCTTGGCAGAATCGTTAGGTGATTTACAACTCGACCGTAAAGCCCTAATGAACGAATTTAAAACCACGTTCAAAATAATCAATCCAAAAGCAATTACTCTTGGTCAATTGTATGGTTCATTTGATGCTGTTTCGCACGAATGGTATGATGGTAAATACTCGTACTACCTATATATTATAAAATAAAAAATAATTATATCGCTAATTTAATTTTTTATTTCAGGAGTCTTAGCAATCGTATTTAGAGAATTTGCAAACAGTGTATCAAAGGATCGTAAATGGATTGTATTTGATGGCCCTGTTGATGCGGTATGGATAGAAAATATGAACACAGTGTTGGACGATAACAAAAAACTGTGCTTAATGTCCGGAGAAATAATTCAGGTTTATATAATTTATCAAAAACGTACTGTATTTCAACATTTATGTACTAGCCACTTGGTACAGTGGTGGTCAAATTATTTTGATCATTAAATTTATATTCACTGGTTATATCTAATATACATTTTTTAGTTTTGGTAAATACAAACTTTATTTATAAACGTATTAATAAGAAAATTTTCATGAAATTATTGAATCTAGTTCGCCCAATATTTCGTTTCCAGTTATATTTATAATAACGCGATGAACAGCTATAGTAGCATAAACGCTTTAAATTTACATTTCAAACATACTTTTAATTTAACTATAAAAGAAATAAACCAAACCTAAAAAGTTATATTTTAAAATATAAGACGTGTTGTATGTTTCAATTTGTGTAGTGTTAAGACCCCTGCAAACAGTAGGTTAACCTATACATTTTTTATCATAACGACATTAACGAATGTATTTTTAGTAGTTCAACTTAAAAATGTAAACATTACTGATTTTGTAAAGAAGTTTACTTTACATTATTACTTTTAATACTTATTCCAATAACACAAATATCTTCCAGCCTAAAACACGTCATATTATAATGAGAAGCATATTTTAATATTTACCTCTGCCTTAGTATTTATTAAATATACAAACTTGTATAGGACACTAGGACAGTGTTTAAGAATATAGGTAGTCATGTACTCATATTCTATGGAAATGTACTACAGTTGATGATTTATTTGTTTAGAAAATAAGAATTATAAATAAATGTAATACATTATAATATATACCTACATATTAAATAATATAAATTGTTATAAATATTGAAAAAAAAAATCTTGGGAGTGGGTCTATGTCCCCTCCATTATTTGATAACCATTTACATACAATTTTCATTTGGTTTATTTTCTAAAACGTTTTTCTATTGTATAGATGAATAATAAAATGAACATGGTATTTGAACCTGCAAATTTAGAACAAGCTTCACCTGCAACAGTATCTCGCTGTGGTATGATTTATGTGGAACCGAAACAGCTAGGTTGGAGAACTTTTTGGTTTTCTTATAAGCAAACTCTTTCTTCTAAAATTTTACCAGACCAACAAATTATGATGGATGATTTAATCGAATGGATGGTACCTGCCGTATTTGAATTTATACAAAGGCATTGCAGTTTATTTTTAGCTACTTCTGAAAATCATATGTTTAACGTAAGTGAACTTCTAAATAGTTAATTTAAATACGAATAATATAATATATAATAAATAATATTATTATATTATGCTTTATAGTCCTTTACAAGGTTAACAGAATGTATGATTAAAGAAGAAACCGGAGTTGGATTTGCAACCATGATGTTGGGATGTATAATAATTTTCAGTATGATTTGGAGTTTTGGTTCCTTAATAAAGGGCGATAGCCGAAATAAATTTGATACATTTTTACGGAAACTTCTTCTTGGAAATATTGATGAATATCAGAAACCAGCTACTTTTAGGTTGACAAAAGCAAACCTTTTTCCAGATATGGGCACAGTTTATGATTATGTGTATGATTATAAAAATAATGGCTCTTGGGTCTTATGGTCTGAAAAATTGGAATTTAAAATGATCTCACCAGATGCTAGAGTAAATAAATCGTTTAATAATTATTGGGATTTTTGTTTTTTTTTATATAATTTGAGTTAAAACAATAATTGCATTAGTGACATTGACTTGCTTTATTGTATAGATAAATGACTTAATCATTGAAACGGATGAAACAGCAAAGCAAAATTTCTTTCTTCAAATATTGTTAAAAAATGAAATTCCTTTACTGTTTGTTGGTCCCACTGGTACTGGAAAATCAGCTATTGTACTGGACTACTTAATACATTTGCCAAAAGAAAATTTTTTAGCTAATGTTCTAAACTTCTCAGCACGGACCGCAGCTAACACTGTACAAGACATAATCATTTCTAAATTGGAAAAGTATATATAATATCAATTTTTGTAACTTATATTAGAGAAATGTATAAACTAACAAAATAGTATTTATGCAGGCGAAAAAAAGGTGTTTTTGGACCGTCTGCTGGGAAAAAATGTATGTTGTTTGTAGATGATTTAAGTATGCCATTACCAGAAAAATATGGTGCTCAACCTCCGATAGAATTGTTAAGACAATGGATTGATCATGGTAATTGGTATGATCTTCAAACTAAGTCAAGAATAGATATAATCGACATGGTTAGGTTTATTTTAGTTCATTATTAGGTATATAATACATACAATGTCGTTACTAATAAGCAATAATTTATTTGTGTAATCTTAAGTTGTTTATTGGTGTACTTCAACCTCCTGGTGGCGGTTCGAATTCAGTTACTACTCGTTTCACTAGACATATGAATGCTATTGGTATTGATTCATTCAGTCAAGAAACTATGTCTAAAATTTTTTCTCAAATTATGAAATGGCATTTTAATAAAGGATTTGCCGAGACTATCGCATTACAAGGAATTGTATAAACTCATAATTTTGGAAGACAAATCTACATATTTTAACTAAAATTAATTTAGAATGTTGTAGAAGCTATATTGTTTGTGTACAAAGAAGCAGTCACCACATTTTTACCGACTCCTGCTAAGTCTCACTATACTTTCAATCTCAGAGATTTTACCAGAGTTATAAAAGGAATATTATTGTTGCCAGCATCGCGGTGTAAAACTCTTGAAAAAATGTTTCGACTGTGGGTACACGAGACATGGCGTGTATTTGGTGATAGATTAGTTCATGACGACGACCGTAATATATTATTTGAAATAATGAAAACAGCATCTTATAATTGTTTGAGACAACCAATGGACGTTTATCTTAGTGATTTAATGCCAATCGAAGAGAGCTTTTTAAATTCTGATCATTTACGAAACCTTTTTTATGGAAATTACATGGATCCAGATAGTGATAAAAAAATTTATGATGAAGTTCATAGTGAAAAACTACTAATCAAACGAATGGAATATTATTTGAACGAGTACAATACTATGTCTAAAAGTCCATTATCAATGGTTATGTTTAAGTTTGCCATTGAACATGTATCTCGTGTAAGTAGAGTCTTACAACAAGACAATGGCCATGTGCTATTGGTTGGAATAGGTGGCAGTGGAAGACAATCAGCTACAAAGTTGGCCACATTTATAGCCGATTATAAAATATTTCAAGTATTATTATACTATATAGTAAAAATATATCCATTCATATATACTAATTTTATATAAATATTTCCAACAGATTGAAATAGGAAGGAATTATGGTAAAAATGAATGGAATGAAGATATGAAAAAAATATTAAGATATGCTGGATGCGAAGGAAATCCTATTACATTTTTTTTATCTGACAATCAAATTGCAGAAGAAAGCTTTGTTGAAGATATAAACATGTTACTTAATACTGGAGATATACCAAATCTTTATCAATCTGATGAACGAGTTGATATTTTAGATAAAATATCCAATATTGCTCAGGGTCTCGTAAGTTATATCAATTCCATACTATTTTAAATAATGAGTGGAATATGAATCATAATTTTATCATTTTAGTTAATTCTTAGAAGTAGGGTAATGAAATTATTTTGAATACCTAATATTTGTTATTAATTAGTTTAAAATTATTTTCTCGTTCTTTTACTCTTTTGATTTTTTTCTAAAGTAAATCTCTCAATACTTGATGCTTGTCCAATACCGGAAAGATTAGCTCTTGTCTCGTTAAGTTTTTCCAATTGCACAGCATAATAAATCTCCTCTTTCAGAAGTTTTTCCTTTTTCAATCTGACATTTTGTATTAATTTATCATAGACACTTAACGGCTAACACTCATATTGAGTTGCAAAGGCCTGACTTTAAATTAGAATATTATATTTACATAATATAATTCAGGGTGGTTCTTTTATCATTGAACACTCATTATTTCAAGAAGTGTAAATGTTTTTGAAAATATTATTTTACATAGTATCAAGTTGCTTACAAAACACGGTTTTTATTAAAAAATTATATTTTTAAATATTTTTTATCTTAATAATTTTTTAAGTTTTTTACTTTTTTGAATGATAACATAAAGGTTTAATTTCATATTAAAAATCAGAATATTTGTATTATTATTATTATTATTTTTATTATTTATATTTTAATATTAAGTATTTTGAAACATAAAAATAAAACTTAAGGCGAGTAGTTTATGAGTTATAAGTATTTAAAGTTTTGATGAGCGGAGTAGTGGACAAACATTTCGCGGGGTAACCCCGTACCACTCCACACCACAAAATGTTATAATACGAAAATTATAATTTTTTAATAAAAACTTTTTTTTTTAAACGACTTGAAACTATGTAAAATAATATTTTCAAAAACATTTACACTTCTTGAAATAATGAGTGTTCAATTATACAAAAATCTCTCTGTAAATTAATATACAAAATATATGTATAATTATATTATATTATTAATAATAACATTAAGTTTTTTATTTGTTTATTTAAAATAAACACATTTTTTTTTTTGTTACAGGAGAAAAACATTGAAACAACACCTCTCGCTTTATACAATTTCTTTATAGAAAGAGTCAAAGAAAACCTTCATCTTACTTTAGCTATGTCACCAATTGGCGATGTATTTAGAAACCGCTTGAGAATGTTTCCTTCACTCATTAATTGTTGTACAATTGACTGGTATGGTATTATTTATTTAAATAATTAAAAATTAATATGTATACAATATATATTAATGGAGAAATAAAATTTACTCAATGCAAGCATATTTTTTGTTTTAACTATAGGTTTACAGTTTGGCCTGAAGATGCTCTTGAGAAAGTTGCAGAATATTATTTAAAAGATATGTCTATTAACAGTGATATTGCATCATCGTGTGTAGTAATTTGTAAAGAATTTCATACGACGGCTAGAGATGCTTCTTTTAGGTAAATTTTACAATATCTACATTTCATTAATAATGGTACCTACAGCAGTACAGCATATAACTATAATTTAACTATATTAAATTTATTTCGTTATTTGTTGTTACTTGTTGTATGTATGGACAAAAATAATGTGACTTACATATGGGAAATTGTAATTTAGTCATTTTATATTTCAAATTGGTTGTAACTATTGCCTCAAAATATTACATTTCAGGTTTTATTCAGCTTTAAAGAGGCATAACTATGTTACACCAACATCATATTTAGAGTTGATTAAAACATTTAAAAACTTACATAAAAAGAGGGTAGATCAAATCACAACTATGCGTAATAGATATGAAACTGGATTGGACAAATTAGACTTTGCTGCTGGCCAAGTATCTGTTATGCAAGATCAACTTACAGCTTTAAAACCAAAACTTGTAGAAACATCGTTGGCGACTAAAGCTCTTTTGGTTAAAATTGCACAAGACACTGTAAAAGTTGAAGCCAAAAAACAAGTAATTATTAAAACAAAATAATTTTTATTTATAATGTTCTAAAATTAACTGTCCATGAAATTTTAGTTAGTGGGTGCCGATGAAGCCCTCGCTAATGAGGCTGCAGCAGAATCACAGGCTATTAAAGATGAGTGTGAAAGTGATTTAGCTGAGGCCATACCAGCCCTCGAAGCTGCAGTATCAGCCCTAAATACTCTTAAACCTGCTGATATTACCTTAGTAAAATCTATGAAAAATCCACCACATGGTGTCAAGTTAGTCCTAGAGGCAGTTTGTGTTATGAAAGGAATAAAATCTGAACGTAAACCAGATCCCAAGGGCTCTGGGAAGATGATTGAAGATTATTGGGGACCTTCTCAGAAACTTATTTCAGATACTAAGTTTTTAGAAAGTTTAAAAACATATGACAAAGATAATATAGATCCTGCAATCATGAAAAATATAAGAGAAAAGTAATTTTATCAATTTTTTTTGTGTACAAAAATAAATGCAAGAATAATTTTCAGATATATAAGTGATCCAGCCTTCGATCCAGTTACTATCAGATCTGTTTCTAATGCGTGTGAAGGCCTTTGTAAATGGATACGAGCGTTGGATGTATATGACAAAGTAATAAAGGTAGTTGGACCTAAACAAGAAAAACTTCAGCAAGCGGAATCGGATTATAACGCTCAAATAGAAAAACTCAACGAGAAAAGAGCTGAACTTGCTGGGGTATTAGGTAAGCTTCAAACATTACAAAATGAACTTGCGAAAAAAACAGAAGAGCAAACGGAATTAGAAGACAATATTGAATTATGTGCTAAAAGTTGACGCGAGCTGAACAATTAATTAATGGACTTAGCGGAGAAAAGCATAGGTGGAGCCAAACCGCTCTGGACTTGACACTAACCCTGGATAACGTGATTGGTGATGTATTGTTATCTGCAGGTGTTGTTGCTTATCTTGGGGCATTTACCGTTGACTTTAGAAATGTTTGTATTAATATATTAATTAATGTATTTATATTTGTATTTACCATATATTTAATTCATCAAAATATCAATTGTATATATAGGTATATAATATACAGAATGTAACAGATAGAACTGACTTTTGGAATAACTTTTCTTCCAACCAATGTTTTAAAATTCTTTTTATATACAATTTATGGCCACTTGCTCTACACGTGTAATAAAAAAAAATATATTTATTTTTTAATATTTACTGAAAATTTGATTTAAATTTTTTTGCATAAATTCAAATTAGTCAATTTGTGAATCTGATTAAAATAACGATTTGGATTTTAAAAACAATTATCTAAGTCAAGTAGTTTATTTTTTAGAATTTTTTAAATATCAATATTTTTTTGATTAAATTAATTTGGTAAGCAATAAGTTTTTAAAATTATTATTTTTTTAAATTTGCTAACATGGGTATATATCTTAAACTATTTACTAATCATATAGTTTTAACAATTTTTGTCATACGCTTAAGTAGCATCAATTTGAAAACACCCTGTATATTAAATATAAAGTGTAGCTACTGGATTACTCCTTTTTTTAAGTAATTCATATCAAATACCTACCTACTTTTATTCTTTTATAGCATATATTCTTATTGTAAAATTAGCTTACATATTGTATATTTACTATTGAGAAAAATATGTATATATATAATATATCTATATAAAAAAAATTGTTGTCCAGGTACTTATTGATGAATGGAACCAAAAGTGTTCAAAAACAAATATTCCTTGTTCAAAACAGTTTTCATTAATACATACATTAGGAGAGCCAGTTTTAATTCGGGAATGGAATATATTTGGACTTCCAGCTGATAATTTTTCAGTTGAAAATGGGATTATTGTATTTAGTGGTACCAGATGGCCTTTAATGATTGATCCCCAAGGTCAAGCAAATAAATGGATAAAAGCTTTGGAAAGTACAAATAATCTTTCTGTAATTAAACTGACAAATTCAAATTATATGACTTCGATACAATTAGCCATTGAACATGGCTTGCCAGTTCTCTTAGAAAATGTACAAGAAGACATAGATGCCACACTTGGTAACATATTAAATATACAAATATACATATTATACAATTTTGTAAAATTTAAAACTTAAAATTTAGTTAATAAAATATAAGAAATATAAATACTAGACTTAGGTACTTTTTATAGACCAAGTACTTCTAAAAAATATCTATAAGCAAGGTGGAATTGAATACTTGAGATTTGGCGATAATTTGTTGGAATATAATCACTCATTTCGATTTTACATCACAACACGACTTCGAAATCCTCATTATTTGCCAGACATTTCTGTTAAAGTAGGTTACTTTATTTAAGTCTTAAGCTAAGAAAAATTACAGTAATTAACTAAATTATCAATATTTTTTTTTAGCTTTATAATGTTAATACATTTACCAATGTAATAATATAATTTTATAAAAATATATTCTCATCATGCAATTTTCTAATTTTTAATTAAATAAAATTAACTTCTAGAATAAATAAATATGTTGATTTGGATATATTATAGTTTTGTTAATCCAATAGAACCTAACTGTATATCATTATTCAATTGTTAAAAATAACCACTAATGTAATTTAGGTGACACTATTAAACTTTATGATAACACCACAAGGGCTTGAAGATCAATTGCTAGGGATTGTTGTTGCTAAAGAACGACCTCAGTTGGAGGAAAAAAAAAACGAATTAATAGTTGAAAGTGCTAATAATAAAAAATCGTTGAAGGAAATCGAAGACAATATATTATATATTCTATCGTCGTCCGAAGGAAATATTTTGGAGGATGAATCAGCAATAAAAGTTTTATCTTCGTCAAAAGTATTTAAAATTACTTAAGTACTTAATTTGTAAGAAGTCTAAATTTTTTTAACATACTAACTAATTCTTCAGACATTATCAGTTGAAATTCAATTAAAGCAAGAAATTTCTATAATAACTGAACAAGAAATTGATGTAGCTCGTAACGTTTATATTCCTGTGTCTAAACATTCTTCAGTTTTATTTTTCTGTATCACTGATCTAAATAATATCGATCCAATGTATCAATATTCATTATCATGGTTTATAAACTTATATTATCAGGTGAGTAACTGTTATTTATTTTAATACAGTCACAATGAACTAGTTTTCAATATTTATAAATTATAAAAACGAATTTAGCACATGTTACAGGATACGTTATGTTTTATGATCCACCAATAGGTGATTATGGAGATTCTATGGAGGGGGGGCTAAAATATTTAATCATAAAATGAGTCGTTTAATAACATAATAATAAATTAATATTATTTTAATTTCGGAGGAACTTCGAATAATTTTTGGAGGCCAAGCCCCCAAGCACCTTTCTCTCCCACTCACCGCCAACATCCCCTGCCACCCCAACATGAACGATGTAGAGACGGTATTAAAACTTTTTCCGATCTCGCTCGAGCTTATCTAATGTGACATTAGCTACTGATGTTGTTGAGTCACCATGATATAATGAAAACAAATTCCTACCAGAAAAAGTCTATTTGAACTTATCAGTCACTTTTAGAGCTCTATGTGTTATCATTTATATGAACATCTGGAACTAGAATATAACCTGAAAATATCTCCTCGCTTTTTCGATTTAAAATATAAATGGCCAAAGTCATTCTTTGTGGAATGTTGTATAATATATTAATCATAATAAAAAATAACTGAGGATGGTTGCTATATTTGTGTAACAGTCGATTTCACAAAGTGAAAAGTCGGATGACATTAATGAAAGAATAAAGATTTTGAATGATTATTTCACTTACAACATCTACCGAAACGTTTGCAGATCTTTATTTGAAAAAGACAAACTGATTTTTTCATTTATTTTAACAGTTGGAATTTTTCGGTCCAAGGTAACTAATAATGTTTTGTATTATAATTTATTAAATGTTTATCAATACATAAATACATATATTCATTACTATATTAAAAATTTTTTGTCGCAGGGTATAATTGACGATGAGTTATTTACGTTATTTCTTACTGAAGGAGTTGGATTAACCAATGAACACCCCAATCCGGCTTCCAAGTGGTTAAGTGATAAGTCATGGGCTGAAACTGTTCGAGCATCTCAACTACCAAGGTAAACAGTGATAAATATATTTTATATTAAAATCATTAGTACCTACTTACTAAGGCTAGGAAGTTATTAGACACAGAAAAACTAAAATTCAATGAGATATTGCTGTAAAAGAATGCAAAATTGGCAATTGCACTTTATAAAATTACAAAAAAAAGTAAATCAAAATTATAACTATTTTGTTTATTTTTTATTAATGACCAATGGCTAGTGAGGAACAGAAATTATTATTGGGGTAAATCGGACATGTGTATTCTATTAGTTTTTTTAGTTAATTTTTGATCCGTTTAAAGAAAAATTACGTGGCTAGTCTTTACAGCTCAGTTACTTACATCGTTTTCAAATAATTTATAACCACTTCAAAAAATTATGAAAATAAATATACAATACAGGATGATTCTTTTATCATGAAACATTCATTATTTCACAAAGTATTTATGTTTTTGTAAATATTTTTTTACATAGTTTCAAGTTGTTAAAAATACTACTTTTTATTAAAAAAATATATTTTTAAATATTTTTATAATTATATTTTTTTAAGTTTTTTACTTTTTTGTATGACAACATAGTTTTAATTTCATATTCCAAAGCAGAATATTATTCTAAGTATTTTGATTCATAAAAATCGAATTTAGAGAGAGTAGTTTATGAGTTATAAGTATTTAAAGTTTAAATGGGCGGAGTGGAGTGGTATCCCGCAAAATGTTTGTCCACTGCTCCACTTATCATACTTTTTGAAATAATGAGTGTTTCATGATAAAAGAATAACCTTGTATACATAAATACATTCATTAAGCTACGTGAATAGCAGTAGGTGAATTAAGTTGTTTATGTTCATCAACTTTTAATCAATTCTTTGATGTATTGTAAAAAGATAGTAAATCAAATTTTGATATTAAAGGTTTTAAATGCATTTCAATCCGTAAAAAATGTGTGAGTTTTTGAATTGAAGCTTTAGGTGACTAAAACTAACTTAACCCATTTTGACATATCGAGTTTTTAAAGAATAATGTATATTTATATACTAAAACTAAATTAATCTCATTTCATTAAATATACATTTTAGATTAAATAAGTTCTATCAATCAATTATCGATTCAAATGATGAGTGGAACAAATGGTATGATTCAAATAATCCACAAGACACGCCTATTCCAGAGCCTTTTAAAAATATCGATGGCCTTGAAAAACTTGTAATTATAAAGTGTATTCGTTTTGATAAAGTAGTTCCAGCTATTCAGGTATATATTTTATTTTATTTATTGATGAGCTTCCCAACAATTATTTAATTATCATCTTCAATTTTTTTAGAAATATGTTGTAAGTAGCATGGGTCAGAAATACGTAGAACCTCCAGCGTTTGACTTAGCAGATTCGTTCAAAGATTCAAACTGTTGTAGTCCACTGATTTTTATATTATCAGCGGGAACGGATCCGATGTCTAGTTTGATGAAATTTTCCGAAGACAGAAAAATTAGCCAATCCGATGTAATGACTATATCACTTGGTCAAGGACAGGTAAAATAAATACTAATGTTTGAATTGTTTACATCATTAATATTATTATATTTGGAGTATAACTTATTTATAGGGTCCAATAGCTGCTAACATGATAAAATTGGGCTTAGAAACTGGTAAATGGGTTGTGTTACAAAATTGTCATTTAGCTGTTAGCTGGATGAAAGAACTTGATCGCATTTGTAATGACGATATTATACCCAGTCGTACACATCTATCTTTCCGTCTTTGGCTTACAAGTTATCCATCTGATGATTTCCCTGTTTCTATACTACAGAACGGTAAATTAAACATTAATGATTCAAAATCGTTAAATTTCATAATTATTTATTAATTCAAAACTAGGAATTAAAATGATCAACGAAGCTCCGAAAGGTCTCTGTGCAAATTTGTATCGTTCGTATACAACTAACCCTATTAATGATCCAGAATTCTACCTTAGTTGTAAGAACCGTATAGGTTTGAAAACGTTATTATTTTCACTATGTTTTTTCCATGCAATCATTCAAGAACGTCGAAAGTTTGGACCACTTGGTTGGAATATACCATATGAATTTAACGACTCGGATTTGCAAATCAGCGTGATGCAGTTAAATGTATTAATCAAATGATTTAACTTGAATATAAACATAGTACATTACTTATAAATAATTTAAAAAAATTATACTTAGATGTTTTTGAATGATTATGATGAAATTCCGTTCGAAGCTTTACTTTATTTAATTGGTGAATGTAATTATGGTGGTAGAGTCACTGATGACAAAGATAGACGTTTATTGACATCTTTGTTGTTAATTTTTTTCAACTCAAATGTTATTAACAACAATTTGTAAGTATAATTCATGTATAGTATAAATAAATGTATATATGTATATACATTTATTTATTTGTTAAGCTTTGGATTGCACTTTATACATTTTATTTATTTAAACCAACAAATATTTCAAATGTTATCCATAAAATTACTAAAAATATTATATACTTATTTATAATATACACAATGTATAATATAGGATAGGTAGTAACATATTATACATAGTAAAATTCTAAAAATCAATTTTTAGAAAGATATAAATTAAAATTATATACATACTTTAATTATTATCAATACATTTATATTTAGGTACATACTATAATATTATTGTTTCTTTAACTTTTTTTCTGATGAGCTATTAGGTTTATTTATCCTTTCCTCATAAACATTGATTATTTTTCAATTTGACTTTCATAATCCAGCGTTATTATTAATTGGTTTTGGATTATTTTTTTCTTAATTTTAAAACTGTACCTTATTACTATGTACTAGGTACACATTTTCTGAGAGTGGACTGTATCATATACCTAAAGACGTCACCTTAACTGGATGCTTAGAATACATTAAATCTTTACCCATGAATCCGCAACCAGAGGTATTTGGACTGCATGAGAATGCTGACATAACAAAAAATAACTATGAAACTCTTATGGTAAGTACATTTTTTTAAATAATATTTATTGTATTTTTATAATCAGAATACTTGTTTAGTTATTGAATGGTACCATTTTAACTCAATCTCAAATCGCAGCGGGAAGTAGTGATAAAGATGCAGATGCAAAAACAGTAGAGCTAGCTAGTAATATTGCGAAAAACATTCCAGATTTATTTGACATAATTGAAGCAACAAAAAAATATCCAACAATGTATGAACAATCAATGAATACTGTAATAAGACAGGTATAAATCAAATCGATTATTATTTTTGAAATAATAATATTAATTCAATATAATGTTATAATGCTTATATCGTTTGTACTAACAACCATACTTGGGACATTTATCATAATACTCTACTTTCTACGTAGGAATTGATACGTTTCAACAGACTATTGTCTGTTATAAAAAAATCACTAGTGGATGTACAAAAAGCTATTAAAGGTATTGTTGTCATGTCATCTGATTTAGAAGAATTAAATACGAGTCTAGTCATTGGACGAGTACCGGCCAACTGGTTGAATTATTCGTACCCCTCATTGAAGCCATTAGGCGGTTATGTTGCAGATTTATTACAGAGGTAAATTATTGGTAAATTGTATCTGTTAAATTTCTAAGCAAATTAATTAATAAAAACTATACTTATATTATATTAATAAAAATAATCACAATCATCTAGATTAAAATTCCTACAAGACTGGCTGGATAATGGAATGCCAGAAGTATTTTGGCTTTCTGGTTTTTATTTTACACAGTCTTTCTTATCGGGTGTGCTTCAGAATTTTTCGCGTAAAAACAAAATACCTATTGATAAGCTTGGATTTGAGTTTGAAGTAACAATATATGAACCTGAAATGGAATTGAAGGATATGCCTGAACAGGGAGTCTATTGTCGAGTATGAATAACTCATCAAAATATATTATTACTTAAATAATTTGATTGATGATCATCATACATTATTTATTCATATTTTGAAGATTAAATATTTGTATGTAGATCACGCACTTCGATATTATATTATAAGATAATCCCAAATTTTTAATTTATAATTTGCATGTGCCTATTTATGTGTATGCTTAGTTGTTGAAAATATTATATAATATACATAGTATATTATAATGTATTTATATTTTATGTGTATTATATGAATTATACAGGTAACACAATTTAATTCATGATGCTTAGGTACTATTTATTATGTTAGAATAATTCGGATACATGAAATTTTCACTGCTTGCATTTTCTATACACATAAAAATTTTCAAAATATTTTGATTTATTTTGAACTGCTTATTGACATTTTCTGTTTCCATTTTTTTTTTAGTTTTTTTTTTTTTCTAAATAACAATAAAATTTTATTTGTTGATTAAAAAAGCTTGAACATTTTAAAGATGGATCCTAATTATATTGCTTCAAAGGCAGATGAAAAAAATTAAAAATCCAAAATCACAATTTTATTTTATAAGCATTTAAAGTTCAAATATTGACAAAATACGTAAAAATGACGAAAATGTGCAAATTGTGTTGAGTTATAAATTCATAAAAAATTTTCTTTTCAAATCTAAGATTTGAAAATGTAATTCAAGATTATTCATAAGTTTGTCTATTTTTATCAAAAAAAAAAATGTCTTCAAGCAAATCAAATTAAATTTTTATGAGCGTTTGAATTTCATATTTTTACAATATTCAATATTCACTCGATTTCTCATGTAGCAATTTCCTTATTTTGTTGTAATTCAAAAACGAATAACTGTAGATACATTAAAATTTCACTGAATGTTTATATTTTTAATTCTTATTCTTGATAAAATTTTCAAAATATTTTGACTTGGTTTGAGCTGCTTACGGACAGTTTTTTATTTAAATTTTTTACTTTAACCTAACCAACTAGATTCACTATCCTATCAGAAAAGATACTGTTGAAGAAAATCCAACCACATGTACTGTCCTAAAAGGTGATGACAGACGCTAAAATAAAAAAAAAATTAAAAAAATAAAAGTTAAAAAAAATTAAAAAACACACATCATTGTAAAATCAATACATTCATCGTGTTTCACTCAGAATCTAAAACCTAGTATAACTATTTTAGTTATTTTGTTGTGATTATATACTATTATTCGTGGGTACATGAAATGTCTAAAGTATAATTTTATATATCCATGATAGTATCACGGTTTTTGTTGATGTATAACGCTTTATAAGTACCTAATGGATATTGTGATATGAATAATTTGGAATTTATTATAGGTACCTATTACAGGTCAATTTTTTTTTAATACCATAGTAAGTATATAATACGTCTTATACCTAGACTGACATACCGTCTCCGATCAGAATCGTTTTTCTTATACAATGATATTATATCATTGAATTCAAATTTAATACCATCTATTATACAGTGACCCACTTGTAACATACTGTACAGCAGAGCGACTTTTTTTAATGTATGTGATGTTAATTCCTGATTTAGGAAATCTTTCATGCGGGAATTGGGTTGTTATTAATATTATATTTCAGTTTTACTATTTCTTTGACTATTTATATTGTTTCAGCTAGGTAGGTGCCTAATCGTTTATTCTAAATATAGCGTACATTGCAAGCAATGCACTACTCACTTCTCATAATAAGACACGGTTGAGAAACGTATAATTTATATAATTTATTATTATATATTTATATGCGTTGAACAACAACGAGTATATAATAATCCAAGCATACCTATTTGATTTTATTGTTAGCAAATTGTCTATAACTTTATAGTGTTACCAACAACAATAATATTTAATTTAAACTTATTTTCACAGGGCTTATTTTTAGAAGGAGCTAGATGGGATCGAGAACTACAAATATTAAATGAATCCTATCCAAAAATTCTTTTCGATACTGTTCCAATTATTTGCTTTAAACCGGGAATTAAAGTACAGTATATTATAGCATAAACAAAAAAATATTAAAATAACTTTACCCAAATACATTGTTATTTTATATTTTGTTTAGTCCGAGTTCGAGGAGAAAATGTATTACGACTCTCCTACTTACAAGACAAGTGCTCGTCGAGGTGTTCTTTCCACCACAGGCCATTCGACAAATTTTGTGATGTTTATAAACTTTTTAATTGATCGACCTAAAGATCATTGGATCAATCGGGGCACCGCTTGCTTGTGTCAATTGGACAATTAAATAAAAACAGATTTATTTGGTTCTATATAAAATTAATGCGTTTGCTATACTTATATAGTTATATAGATACTATAAACCGAGAATAGAATAAAAAAAAATATAAGACAGGACGATTCATAAATAATATGTTCACACGTCTTTTTTCTTTAATAATGCAGCTGCTCAAAATCTGTTTTTTAGAATTTTTAAGTTTACTTGATAGCAATATTTTCAAATAAACTTGAAACATTCAGTACCATTTAAGGAATATTTAATGGTGGTACAACTTTTCGTTTCAAACGAGAATCGCCATTTTTTATTGCAAATTATTTAAAGGATAATTTTTTTTTTGAGAATGTAAATGTAGGCACCTATTTAAATAAAAATACGAACAATAGTGTTGTTCCCGAATAATTGAACTTTGTATATCTATACTAATAGTCCATGATAATATATCCCTCTCTGCTCAAAGCATATAAAATAGATATCCTTAAATGTAAATTTGTTTTCGTCATTTCAGTTCTTGATAAGTCCACCGTATCAATAGTAGGCTAAAATAAAATATTAATTGATCCGTCTATAATTGGATTTTTGATCCAATGTGGGAAGATTTCAGAATCTGTTCGAAAGCGGAACGGGTTCGCCGACAAAATCATGGACGCTCCAAGTCACGTAAGATGTCGAAGCTCCGAGTGAAAGTCGAAGTCCGCCTTCCGTAGTCCCTCGCCGCCGTCAACGGCCGGCGAGTTGGCCATTGTCCGTCACGAACTTTTTGTTTTTTTTTTGTCCTTTCCCGACGGTCGAACGTAGGGCAACGTTCAAGCTATTGTTATCCGTGTTCCCCGTAAAACTCGTGTGAGCCCGAGGTGTGTGAACTGTGAGGCCTGAGCTGTGATCAGCAGCGACCACGGTTGATACCTACTACCATAGGCGGCACTTGGTAGAAACTTATGTGGGTGCAAAGTGTAAACGTTTATGGTAATAAAATTCACAAATCCATAGGGAAGTTGCCCCCCAGTACCCCCTAATATATAAATATTGCTACAACAAATGTAGTTAAAAAATGTCTTTATTAATAACTATTCCAATTGGGTCTCTGTAGTCTGTATTTCAAATATGTACATGAATATGTAAAAAATTATTAAAAAACAACTTTTTATTTTGACATAAATAATAATGAAAAAAAAAAAAATTAACTGTGTGTAACATAATAATTACTAGGTATTTGTCAACTTCACTACTTCAGTGTCAAACGACGACCTCTTATTGAAGCCTCAGCATCAAACTTGTCAATTATATTATCAAAATCTATAGGGTATTCTTTTTGTATATATAAGATTGCTAAACTGCTCAATCGCTCTTGACTCATTGTGACTCTTAAGTATGTTTTTAATTTCCGTAGAGCTGAGAAACTGCGTTCATTAGATGCAGTATTTGTAGGGATAGTTATAAAAATCTTTAATATATTTGTATAATTTGGGAATCCTGTCCGAATATCTTTAGATCTAATATAATTTATATTTTTTATAATTGTATCACATTCATGATTTATAAATAATCTATTTAATATTTTTATCTCACTTGATAAATCATTTGATTCTATTTTGTATGCATTACAAACTTCCTCTATTGACTGATTAGTAGGGTTTTTATTAAATAAGACATTATTCATAGAATTCAACAAACTTAAATAATTTTCTTTAAATTTACTCTTCATGCACATCATTACTGTATCTATAATTCCAAAAAATACATTTATACGAAAATGATCTTGAACAGTCTGAATAGTTTGTTTTTTGCCACCATCTAATTTTAATGGTACTGATTTAATGCGTGGTAGGTTAGGCTCACTAAAACCATTATTTTTTGAAACAATAGTAGCCTTTTCTCATACTTTCTGAAAATTGTCATCTGTTCTCAATTCTTCAAAACTTCTTATAGCTTAATTAGCTTACTGCATTATTTAATTATTATTATTAGTATTTTAACATTTAATCACGGACTAAGATTTTAGTCCGTATAATTAATTAATTATTTAATTAAATAATTAATTGAGTAATCAGATATAAAATATTGAAATGATCCATGGTTATTTTTTAATATCAAAATTACATTATATCAGTATAATTGTTAACAATAAAATAATTAAAATATTTTTTACTGTTGTGATTGTCTGTGTGTGGGTGCAAAATGATACTTTTACCCCCCCCCCCCCCCCAGAAAAATTGTCGTGGGTGCAACTGCACCCTCATGCCCCCCCCCCTCCCCTAGTTGCCGCCTATGCCTACTACCAAGTTTACGTCTCGCGTCGTCGTCGCTGTGGCAATACCGCGCCCGTTACATCGCGTGAAATAAAAGTCGCGCGTGAGAACACGCCAGGGGGTCGATTCTCGAACACATTCGACATGTAAGCGAAAATAAATAGAATACGACTACAGTCGCATGGCTAAGTCGTATACGCTTTATGTCATCTGCTTATACCTATTCTTGAACACCACTCGCTAATTAAATTGTAGTGTACTACTTTTTGTAGAGTGGTAACGAACGAGTCGTATGAACCGCTTGTGGTATACTTACTATCACGTAGATATCGACTGATAACAATAATACGAGCGATAATAATAATTGCATAATACATAATAATCAATAAAAATCGATAAAAAAATACCTAAATAAATTAATTAGGTACCTACCTAGTTTTTTTGTTCATTGTTATACATTTAAATAGGTACTAAGTTCTTCTTCATCGTGTCAGTCAGCTGTTTTAAATTGAGCCATTTTTTGAGCCAATATTTGATCTGTTTTATTACTTCGAGTACCTACTACCTACTAAGTTGTAATATAATGGCAAACGACATTAAAGGTCGGGCAACTGTGGATCATATGATAGCTTTGAACGGGTTTTTGAAGCTTGATCCACAGTTGCTAAGTGGAAAATTTAGCAGTAGTTTTACTACTTCTTGACGAGTGGTTATAGTCATACGCTTTGAAGTCGTACGACTTTTCATTCGCTAGCGTGTCGTATGAAATTGAAGAATAGGAAATAATAAAAATCGTTCGACAATTCCTTTATGTCGTATACGATAGCGCCGTTCGAGAATTGACCCCCTGTCTGTCCTTCGGGTCCGTCCGACGACGCCGAGCGACACATCGATTTTGTCCTCTCGTTATTTACGCCGTGCGTGCAGGTTTTTTACACTCTGCGTGATCGCGAGTTTCTGCCAATTAAATGCATTGGTCATTGGTATTATTTCGTTTCCGTAACACCACGCGTTTGTGAAACTCTCGCAGAAACAGGAATTATCACCGTCGAGCAACGAGCTGAGGACATTTCCGGCGAGGGACCTACATTGGTCCCCGATAGGAGCATCTCCACATCGCAGAGCCACGCAGTCGTCGAACTCAGGTCGATAATTTAGTTAGCCCCACGTGGGGTCAGTGGTCTGTTTTTAAATCCACATGTTGTTCACCAGCTATGGTATTTAGTTTAAGGTTTGTATTATAATTTTGGGCTCCCGCTATTAATTTATATTTATTTATTGCACAAATATACGTGTTTCCTACCCAAAGTTTTGATCTGTAAGTGCATATTGAGTAACCCGTCCCCGCTCCAGTTTTCAACACTTTACGCAAACCGTTTCCGACAACCACCCAACTTGCAGGATCGGTAACGGCGTTTACAGAATCAATGCCTATCAAAAAAATTGTACGCTTCTCGCATTTCAATTTACTATGATAAGTAAATTTAATTATTGACAGACGTCGTTTAATTGGCCAGCTGTCAGCTATTAGGTATTAATCAGAAAATACAATAATTTAACTACACGATTAATATACCTAGCATAAACATTCGGGTCCATTTCAATGCCCAGCTCACTTTCATAATTTTAAATTTTCACAAACCCGAACGTTTGTGCCTTGTCTGTGCAGAAATATGTGTCAAGTTTCATCGTATGTGTATAAACACTATAAACACTTATCAACAAAACATAGTGGGGAATAAGGAGATATTTAAAATTCAAGGCTGAGCAATGGCCATAAAATAGTTAAAAGTTAAAATTAAGTTAATTAACTTTTTCCTTTTTTTTTAAATTAACTTTTAACTTAATAATTTACTTTTTTTCGAGAATAACATGTTAACTCCATGTTAATTTAATTTCAGAAGTACCTATCTAAATAAAGTTAATTTTCGTCCGAAGAATAATGAACAATTTTTGAATGAGGTTTTTGCTTTGAAGTATCATTTTAAATTTCCCCAGTATTTTTCTTGAACGTGTTACGTACTTATTATAAATGTACAACGTAACACACGTTTCTAGTAGTATTTGTATTTGACGATATAACTAATAACCAATAAGGCAATTAGCATAAGCGCAACTATAGGGAGGGGCTGGGAGGCTTAGCCCCTCCAAAACTTTTAAAAGCCTCCTAAAAATAAATTATTCATTTGTTCCCTAAAATATTAATAAATCTTTAAAAATTAAACTGTATTTCTTACTTTTTTTTTTTTGAAAAATGTAATTATCTAATTTTTATTTAAACTTTACAATTATTTTATATTGTGTATGATAAATATGATAAATATCATTAGCTGTGTGCCTGTATTTGTTTTAAAGAAACGACTTATGTCGGTATATTGGTAAAATTATTATACATAATTTTAATGAATATGCACTAAACTAAAGTATAGACTATAGAGAAAGTGAATTGCGGAATAAAAATCCCCGGGAAAAAACTACCGACAAACAATCGACGGAAAAAAAAATCCCAAATTCTAGGGAAAACAACACCCATCCTACAATGTTAAACTAGCTGGTGGGTACATGAAATTGATTTATCAATTATTTTTAAAAGATAATTAGTGTAATTATCACATTATTAATATTTTATTACAATTGTATTATACTTAACTGCCTTGTGAAAAACTATCTGAACATATATGTTATTTGGAAACCTATAATTTTCTAAATGAATTATACCCCCCCCCCCCCAAAAAAAAAGTTAAACAATAATTTAAGCAA